CATAGGCTAAATCGAATAGAGCGGGTCGATGTGCATGCTGCTTGCCGGTTGTAGGCTCGAGAAAACACGCTCATTGAGGAGAGTACACCCACAGAATCTATAGCAAAATGCGTGAGGAAGTCAATGCCGCGAGAGAGCCTGGTTGTGAGGTAGATGTCCTGGGTTCTAGCAGTCGACAAACTCATCCTGCCGGCGCATTGCGACAGCTGCGTTGGCTCGGTCCGATAGAAATACATCGATCGATCCGAGATGCCCATCTAGACCACGAAAGTAGTGGTCCTAACTGGTTGATGCAGTATCCCACAATCTGGAAAGAGTGACGATCAATTGACATTAGATGAAACGAGTTTGTGCTGACTTCTTAACAGCATCTGAAATAACAGACGAGCTCAACATCCCCGTCCCAGGAGAGATCGGCCTTCGCTCAATCCCACCTCCCAGCGCGACTCCCTGTAGTCCAGACCACCGCGCCTCGCAACATAGAGCTGTACGTTTTTGTGCACCCGTTTACAATCTTTTTTGCATCTATATCCGAAGTGTAAGTACCATCGAGTGATGGCAGTCGTTCGAGTACTTTTGCCTCGCGAAAAAATCCAACTCCCCCACATGTGTGAAATATAAAAGCTTGCGATGTATGTGAATATTACGAGGATCCAGCCATTTCAAATGTACACATGATTTCGGCCATGAATATGCGACCATCCACTTTTGTGCTCACAAGTGAATAACTCGTACGAGTTTTGCGATGATGTCTCAGAATGATATGCGCACGACTGTCATACATCCTCTGTAAATTGAACGACTCCAGTTGATGCATAGGTGTCATAAACTGACCTGCAGAGAACGTATGACAGTTATGCGCATAGTCACATACATAAAGCAGCTTTTGGCGCTTGACGTCAACAAACATTTGTGTATCCTTGTACTTTGTGAACAGCGCGAGGCAAGATCAAGCGAAGCGAACTAGCTAGGCAATTTTATGGCAGTGAGAAACTATGAAGATTGATCGATAGGAAAGCGCGTGGAAGGATCATGAGATTACATGACGCAGGCGTAGGTGTGCCCCATCGCGCGCTATTCATTCTACCTGATCAGTTGCTCCATCTACACTTGCATTAACGACAACTTTGGCCCACTTTCAGGCGCGCTACGGCATGGCAGCAAACCTTAGCGTACCTGTCAATGGGCCAATGTTGTCGTTCACGCGGCATAGGGATATATGACACGTGTGCACATAACGCTGTCAGACATATCGATAAGCTCGTGCTTGTTTGAGTAAAAATCAGACATGTGGGTGGTCATATCTGTTATGGAGTAGACGGTTTGATTCTAAACATGGGAATTGTTCATTTGAGGGGGATGAGTACGTGAGCACCGACTCGTAACGCGATGTAGACGCAAATGCGCTCGCTCTCATACCAAATTCTGCCTGTAAAATATGTAGAGACGCTTATCCAAACGAACGAGCAAGGTGGGGCGTCTAACATAAAATAGATACTTATTCCTCGTATATTCCATTGGATGAGGTCGCTTACAGCTGCCTCCTGTAGGTCTTCGTCACACCATTTTTTGTCGTTTTGGAAGATAGAGGCTATAGTTACCATCTGGCGTTGCTACGATGTAAGAAACAGATTGCAGCAATCGATGTTTATTTCTGGCAGAGGGAATCGAGCGAGGTTTCAACCGTGCGTCTCCGATTTGCCGGCTTCGCATTTTTGTTGTATGGGTGCCATTGAGTAAAATAAAACACGGTAAACGAGATGGAACGTTCCCACGGCGAATGTGCCAAAACGTTTATAAGTTTGCTAAACGCCCTCTCCTTTTTGCCAAGAGTTTCTGAATACTGACAACAAAACAGTTCGTCTCCGCAGCTTATTCAGCAAAGATGGTATATAAGCAAGTTTTTACTTGATAGCGCCAAGAAACTCCGATTTGATCGAAACTCTTGACTTTTTCTGCAGTCATACATGCTCATACCAGTTACACAGACGTTTGTCTGTCTGCATCACGGTTAGAAACTCACGATGAACCACATACTGGTGCTCATGCCCCCAGCAAACCACCCACATGTACAGTTGCGCTCACGAAACCGAAACTGCGAGTTCATTGCAGGGTGCGTGCGGCCATGACACTGACACCGGTGTAGCAAATAAAACAGAGAATGCTGAGAAGAGTGTTGCGTCGACGATGATGCTGACTAAATGAGGTGTGGTAGTGGACATGAGTATCCTCTCGATGCTGTTAGTAGGGAGCATCGACATAATAAACTGCTCCATTGATCGCGGTCGCTGGAGATCTCGAGCTGTAGTACATGCGTCCCGCATGTTACATTGCACAAGGACCGACGTGCTTGTTCTGTGGTAGAATGACATTGGTGTCCGACCATTACACGCTTCGCTCCCTCTTCTTTGCTTCGCCGTACGCTCTGCGCCACGCGCACTAAGGCGTCGCAACATTCCAAGGTGTCCGAGCGTCGAGAGTATCTATCGATACCATTGACACTACATGTGGAGCTTACGTTGCTACACCCAATCGCGACGCGGGTCTCAACTGCATCGAAGCTTCGTACCAGCGGCTGTCGTCGCGCGAACCTCGTGCGAGCGACACGTTGACGGACGACGGCGTGTTCACCGAAGCTTCGTATTCATTGAAACGGTATCTCTCGAGCTGAAATGTCTGGACCGATTGTCAGTCTTCTGAACGCACGTCGCGGTCGCTTTTCCTACTGCTGCGTGGTCTCGCTCGAGGGGGGAACGATAGCGCTCTACACTGGAAAACGGTCAACGTACGTCTGACACTTCTGGCGAAAGCCTGTCGAGGATCGATAAACCATGTGGAAAGAGGCCAGGGAAGTCGTTTCGTGATACCATTGCAGTGTCACCACTTCCACTCCCTCATGAGTTCGCCCATCTGCTCAATAAGTGCAGCGCGTCGCCGTTGCGCTGACGTTATGGCATGAAACACTTCCGCATTATTTACTGAAAAATTCAGGCAATGTGGCTCGCAGGATCACGTGCAGAACGCAACTACAAGACAGATGGGCAAGCTCGTCTTTCGTCCCCGTTGCCAACCAACTCTTTCCAGCGAGAATGAGATTGACCACATCGTGATCGGTGCTGAATCACGAGCAAGTCTCGGGACGAGTTGTCCTTCTACGACGCATCTTCCAGTCGAGTTGGTCTCTAGTCTCTGGTCTGTAAACGAGATCTCTCGTCGGCGGCCTTCGAGCTGCGGCCACCACTTCTTGATCCGAACCTCGGAATCAGACAATCCAACCGCAGTGGCAGCTTCGCTTTCGTTGCAGAAAGTTTCAACTGTGGCCCCGTAACGAAAAATCAAGTGCTTGAAACTGGTCAGTGACTGAGTCGAAAGGTAGCTGCAACGAACCGCGCGAAACCTCTAGCGAATGATAAACGTGTCGTCTGCTGCCAGCCACAGCTCGTCCAGCAGGCAGCAATTCGCGATTCATCGCAGACATCCTAAACGGCTCCATGAACTTGTTGTCGGCTTCGATTACGTCGGCGCTGGCGCTCAAGCCGTCTACCGTGTACATCCTTCGAGTGAAGAACAGCAAAACTCGACAGAGGTGGCACGTCCGACGCCGCTTCACCGACTTCTGCGAGTTGCGCGGGAAACTTCTCGCCCTGATCGATGATCAAATGATGATGTACCTCACGTGTCTCGAGGTCGACGATACCGAAAGCAGCTTTTGCACCACCAGTTCCGACATCAGCTCCAGCACGAGCTCGAGTGTCAGCACTCGCGTCTCGTGTCGTGGAAAGAGTCGCCACCACTTCTCCCCACCACCACCGGACCGCTTTTGTTACGTGTTCAAGCAGTTTCCACCCCGTAAACTGTTCACGTCACGCTCCGAACGTGTGATCAAAGCGCGATCCATTGCTCTCAATCTCTTTCTGCAGCAGGCACTCGAAGTCGTTGAGGTCGTTCGCCAGCGTCGGTTAATCGCCATCGGGTTCAGCATGATGACCCACATTGAGAGCTTTCTCGAGTGCAAAGCCCACCGACCAGCCACGAGTGTTGCTACGCCAAGCACCTTTGACTGCAAAAGCGAGACAGTTGCACGCCAGGAGGCCATGTCACCCAGCACAGCGCGGCGAAGATCAGCTGCCAGATCACACTCGCCTCAGATTTACACCTCTTCCCGTTGGCGCTGACCCCGTCCTCCACTGCGACTCTCATCGACCAAAGGCCCGCCAGTCCCATATATGCGGGTGCAGCTTCGATGCATCGCTGACGACGATGCCAACAGCATGCGAGAAACAAGAAAAATCAGCACTTCATGAACGTTTCCGTCATCCGGTGGATTTTACCGTGCATTTGGTCGTCAAGAAAGAAGGAGCAGACTGTCTTCCTGAGTCACATACAACATAAGAGAGCAGCATGTGCCCCACTGTCAATAAAGCTGTAGAAATTTGTTGCTAGCACAGTTACGTACAATGTCTTCTTCGTCAGCTCTGGCCTACATGCGAGGCAGTATCCGATAATGTGAGGCAGCACATGGATAGTCTTGAATGCCAATACATCTTGTCGCAGTGTTTAGTTGATGTGCAGTTGACCGTCGCTGAGCGACGACCACCGGCCCGGTCTGGCTTTCCCATATATGCGCTCGTGCTCAAGGACTGAACGAACCTGATCCAAGCGCGTCGTCACTTCTGCGAGCTCGACTTTATGCCGTTCTCCGACAACACTTTGTGCGCAATTTGGACAATGCGCTCAAATGCCACATCCGAGTAACGACGCCAGCAAATGTGGTCACGCCATTGCCGCGACGGAAGCTGAGGAGTCGATAGACCGTGAAACACCTTGGCCACCATACAACTCGTCCACCTGGTCCCCCCGTCACTCTCCTTGTCCTCCTCGACTTCGCTGCCTTCCACTACAGTTCCGCCACCAACGCGAAGCTGTAGAAGCGAAATGGTGTCGCGCTCGATCGACTCGATCAGTGATGGCGTCAGCGGTCGTAGGATCGTCTGCATGAGATGCTCATTCTCGTCAATCTCGCCTGTGCCACTAGCGTCACGCTCATTGTTGTCGTCGAAGTAGCTCACGAACTTGGCCTCAAGAGTACGTGCTTTGTGTTCACGATCTGCCAAATTGTGATCACCAGCATAACGCCGTAACTCGATCGGAGATGGTGTTGGCAGCGCAGCTGCATGCAGTGCACCATACAGATAAGCAAGGCGAGAAAGTTGGCGAGACTCGAGGTACTCGTGCTTGGCGTACAACATCGTGGTGTATCGATCAACGACCTCAGCTTTCGTCCTTTCACTTAGGTCAACGCGCCAGCTTAACTGCACCTGGAATGCAGGTTGAGCATGTGACAGGTGCTGAATTTGACCCGCCTGCTTAGCTGCTCGCAATTCTTGAAGCATTCGACGCTCATTCGTTGCAGCATCAAGAGCGATAGCGACAGTCTCTCCATCCTGCTCGGTGTCTGAGCTTGCCAATGTAGTAGAAGGAGCTTTGCTTCTACGTTGGTACCATTGAGCTGCTTCATGCAAATGAAAGTCCACAGCCCACGAGCTCAAGTATCCGTCCTTGTGATATGTCACACGAGCATTCGGTAGCTCATTGCGCCGCACAGCTTCAAATATCAGCTTTGCAAATGAGCAAGGCGACAATTTCTTCACTTGCGTATCAAGCAGCTGCAGCGTACACCGACTCATGCTCGAAGGGTTTAGCGCCACATGCAATCCTGACCTGCCGTCCTCGTCTCTTTCTTTGCCACGCTGCGATTCGAGTGCCAGCAGCGTGAGAAACGTCTCGATTGTCGCCGCCTTGAGGTCAAGGTAAGGTTCCAGCCAATCGCGATCTAAAGATACAAGCGTCACTCCACCGCCATCTCGATGGCCGCAGTATCTCACAGCGACGACATGGTGTTTACTTGAGGTCGTTCCAGTCGTGTGGTCCTGGAAGACGAGTGTGAGAAGCCTCCGAAGTTGTTCGCGGTGCAATGCCGTTGAGAAAAGCAAGGAGCGGAAGTATACGGCATCTTCATTGAGCAAATAGAGAAGTGCTCGCGCATGCTTTCCGTCCCGACCAGCTCGACCGATCTGCTGTACGTAGCCTTCCACCGACGATGGCATGTGGAAATGCACAACTGCACGCACATTCTTCTTGTCGATACCCATGCCGAAGGCCACAGTGGCCACCACTACACGCACTCTGCCTCGTGCAAAACCAGTACGAACTTTTTCCTTTGCTTCGGGAGACATGCCAGCGTGAAATGCCAGTACTTTTCCGGGGCTACGCCATGCGGGTGGCAGCTGCTCACGGAGCAGCGCAGCCAATTCCTCCGTCTGCCTCTGCTGATGAACGTACACGATAACACCTCCACCGCTTCCTTTCGATGCTGGAGTCGTTCCTTTGCTTAGTCCCGGAAGGCTGTGGACGAGGTGCTGAAGTCGCTCATCATTAGAGCGCACAGAACGGACCTCCAGCGCCAAATTCTTCCGATGCCACGGCATTTGCAGCACCATGTCACTTTCATTCTCATTATCTTCGTTGGTCACAACTTGGTGCTGACGCCGCGATCGCAACTGGAGCAATACGTCACGCACAACGCGTCGTGAAGCTGTGGCGGTGACGCATAGAACGCACCGGGCATGTCGAAAGATCTCTGCCAGTCGCAGATAGCTGGGACGGAAGTGATGGGACCATTCAGAAATACAGTGCGCTTCGTCCACACACACTAGCGCCAGGCGAGCCCGTACGCGCGGCACCGCAAACAGCGCCTGCATACCCGCACTCAATGCCTTTTCCGGCGACAGGAAAATCAAAGAAAGCTTATCCGCAAACAGATCTCGTACAAAAGCTGCATGTTTTGCTTTTGACAACCCGGCAGCGACACCAGGCGATCCAGAAAGACACACAGCACGAGCTTTTAGCGCGGCTGGAAGACTCTCGTACTGGTCATTCATCAGCGAAATGAGCGGTGAAATGACAAGTGTGATACCAGGTAGGAACAGAGCGGGAAACTGATAACAGAGCGATTTTCCTGCGCCGGTGGGTAACACTAACAGCGTGTCCTGTTGATGCAGCACTCTCGAGATAGCCCACTGCTGTCCAGGACGAAAATCAGCATGCCCGAACACCAGGCGCAAGTTAGTAAGCATTGCTTCGCGCTGCTCTTCCGCAGCAGCTTCAATATCCACAGGCACACACTCAATGGGAGCTGCGTTGGCCGCGGATTCACCGGCATTAGTCGAAGACGAAGCAGTGAAAAGCGTCTGCATTGCAAGCGGAACATGGTCATCTTCCCAAAGAAAGAAATCGCAACGACCTTCGTCGAAACCCAACGAGCACGCAAAGAATCGTCGACCGCAATTCTTGTTCTTTTTCTTGACCTCCAGGCTTTGGCAGAGAAGTGCGTGGTGGCATCTCGGCGGATCCCAAGCTTCTTTTTCCTGCTCTGCTGCAGTGCTTTTCCCCACCTCTTCAGTCGTTACGCCACGAGCTTCTTCGGCCTTAGCTAAAGCTTCTAAGCATTCACCGATGAAGTCCACTCCATCATCAGCCAGCAGTAGCTTCTCTTGTTTGCTATGCTGACTGCCTTTCGCATCAACAAGTGGAGCCATGCCGGTGTGGAAGTTGTCACCAATTGTTCCATCCAACGGGTTCTCACTCCGCGCTCGTAAATACGCTGGACGCTTCTTGGCACGCCCAGAGCTTCCCTTGGGCCGCTTCCGCATATTGAGTCGCACAAAGTTGTCGCTAACAGCACTTCGTGTGTTGTCCACTTTCCAGCGCTCGAACTCTGCTGTCTTCGAAGCTGCAGCAAGAGCACCAGCAGTCTCTTCACTACATCTAGACGGAGCGTCAAAAACGTCAAGACTCAAAGCGCTGCTTGCACCCGAAGTAAAGCTCCACGTCTCCTTTCCTTCGTCTTCCTCTAGTTCTACACCTCTTCTTTCTCCACTCACTTTGGTTTGCCGTTCCACTATCAGCTCGTTGTCTTCATCATCCTCTGAGACCACCGAGGATGGTCCTAGTGACGGCATGGTAGGTCTTTTGTTGCTACTACCAAGCGACGTGTCAAAATCTCTCTTGTCTTCTGTTTCGATCGCATTTCGACTGCCGCCAAAAACCTCTTGAAAGACACGATCGAAGCCCACCTCCTGCTGTTCCCGTTCCTGTTGCCTGCTTTGATCTGCTCCCTCATTATGAGACGTCTTAGCTGCTCCAGAACGCCACAATTGCTGTCGTTCCTGCACAGACATGGCGAAGTCCAGCGCCTTTCGTTTTTTACCATTTCTCGAAGCGTGCTGCGTCTTTTGTACCGCTTCCTCATGATCCAAGCGCTTGACTCGCTTTTTCTTCATAGAAGCAGAACCCACATGCTGTTTCTTCGCGTCCAGCGCGCGCATTAACCACCCAGCGTCATCTTCACCGCTTTTGACCTCGTGACGGCATTTGACACGAGTGTTTGCAGCCTTCGCGTCATTTCTACGCGACGCGAAAACAGCTGAGGGTACAGATACCGACGCTGAAGATGCTGCTGCAGGAGCTGACGAGATGCGAGCGCCAGACGTCGAGACGTGAACAGCTGTAGAGCTGTCACTCCGCGCTTGTCGTCGCGGCCACATCTTGAGGGCTTGCGAACGGTTTTGATTGGATACGCGACATACCAGTATTGCCAACGCCGGTACAACGACAGTATACCGAAGCCAGCAGTGGCTACATATCCAGCACCACCATGTCGATGGCGACGGGAGCGAAGGCCCTCAATGCAATCGAGTTCCTTCGTCTCTGCGGACGTCTCAAAGTAAGCCAAAAGCTGATTTATATCACTGATAGTCTCTTGTATCTGTGGACGAGAGCATTTGTATTGAAAACCGCTGAAGCCGCTGCTCGAGCCGATGAATGTCCTGACCGACGAATGATCTGCACCGATAGACGTTAAAACGCACTGGATGGGTAAATAACAATGTGGCGCGACCTGAGTCTGTAGCGGACCACATGTACCGCATGGGGATGTGTTGTATGCTACTCGACGATGCCAATGAGACTGTGAATCGCTCCAAGTGCGTGGCGCAGGTTGCTGCGACTGATGTCTCATTGCTGTTTGCTGAAAACCCCACGATTGTCATGGTAACGTGTCCTGCGGTTCGGTTGCACTGGACAGGTGCATCAAGATGGCCATTGTGCACGACTTGGCAGAGTCACTAGTGGGTGACATCACGCCTTACGATGGTAAAGTTGTTGGCAGCAGTACCGTTTTTCAGCTGACTCATGGGACTTGTTCAATGACATGGTGTGGTTTGCACTCTTGTGCTGATCGGTCCATAGGCGTCGCTCAAGAAGATAAACATCGCATGGAGAAGGTATACCATGGTCATGATGTCTTGCCTGGTGCCGATGATGTTTGCTCACTGACTGCTATCAGGCAGCTCTGGACGAGATTTGCCACACACTAGGCGACACGCCATCGGCCGCCGAGATCCGTGCGCTCTGGAACGAGTACGAAGAGGGAACTACTGAGGAGGCGAGAATGGTTAAGGTACATGCGCTGTAGATGTCACACGACTCGATGCTACCCACGCTCGCTACTCACATCGTGTCCATCGACACTCTGGCGGCCTTGTAGGACTTTGACAAATTTGAGATGATTCTACAGGCGGACGACTACGAGAAAGGTACACACACGTGTGTGGGTCGACAAGTGTCGCTGCAATACTGCAATGCTTTCTGCAGATACAGCTAACGCTCGATGTATTGTACGTGCATTGGTGCCATTCGCAGCCCACGATATCTCGCTAGACGGCTTTTTCCAGAGCACAAGTGGCAAGTTTCGCACGCCGCTGGTCCAGTCCTGGGCCGCAGAGCTCACGCTGCAGCGCACTGCCCGTCTCAAGAAGGACGAGAAGGAGGTGTCAAGTGAGTGCGACTGAGACAGGAGCTGCTCGTGTCCAAAGGACGTGAGGGTCTCGACGTTGTTGTAAAAACAAATGACTCGCGAGTCGGCGTATTTACGCCTCGTAAGAATACCACCGACCCTCCCGTATTTGTTATAAGAAACAAGACGACCGCCCACCTATCAAACGTGGCGGCGCATCGCGGCGCAGAGCGATCAGACTGAATTTCTCCCTATCAGCGCGTCGACTTCGTGCCCGGTCCTCATTGCCATGTCGCTCGCTGCTGTGCCCACTGCGTCGCTGCTGTCAGAGCTCCAGAGACGCATCGAGTGCGCGAGCAAGAAAGAGCGTCGTGCTATCTTCATCGGTACGCAGTCGACGAAGCAGCGGCAGTGCTGGTAGCAGCCGGAGCTTGTGGCACTCGCAGTGTTTCGTGGGGTGTCAGTATTGACAAATAGGGCGTTGTTGTGGTTTTCTGCTGTCTCTGATAGGACCCCCGGGATGCGGGAAGGGCACACAGTCGCCGCTGGTCAAAGACGAGTACTGTCTTTGCCACTTGGCTACCGGCGACATCTTGCGCGCTGCTGTGGCCGCCGGCACTGATATGGGCAAGAAGGCCAAAGCCGCGATGGAGTCGGGCGCGCTCGTGACCGACGAGATCGTCGTCGGTATCATCAAGGACGCCATCAAGAGTCCTGACTGCCGTCGTGGCTTTATTCTGGACGGGTTTCCACGTACAGTCGTGCAGGCGAAAAAGGTGCGAGCAGCGAGAAGCGACAGAGACGAGTCGTCGGCTCGCAACAGGTCAATGGGCACGCTGCTGCTGACGCTGTGTCTCGTTTTGTGTGTGTGTCTATGGCTCTGCTACTCTACAGCTCGACGAGATGTTGACGGAAGAGAACACGGCAGTGGATGCTGTGGTGAGCTTTAACGTGCCGGACAAGGTGCTGGTGGAACGCATTGCCGGTCGACGCGTGCACCTTGGCAGTGGCCGCAGTTACCACGTCAAGTTTGCTCCGCCTAAAGTAGACGGCAAGGACGACATTACGGGCGAGCCGTTGGTTCAGCGCAAGGACGACAACGAAGCTACGCTGAGCTCGCGTCTGGAGGCTTTCTACAAGCAGACGCAGCCCGTGATTGACTTTTACCGCGAACAGGGCAAGTTGGTGGAAGTGAATGCCCACACGGAAATGCACAAGGTCACGGCGCAGATCCGTAAGAGCCTCGGCTCGGATTAGAGTACACCACGCTTTGTTTCGCCCCTGTCTCCCGACTTTTACCGACCTTAGAGCATGTGTGGCGGTCAGTCGGTCTGTCGCTAGACTCGAACTGTTAAGCACATGTTGCACCACAAGATGCACGAATATCGACGTCTCCTCGTCTCTCGCTGTTGTATCGTCCGTCTTCCAGTGGCTCATTCGCCTACTTATGTCGCCGCTAGTGCGGCCATACCGCCTCGTGACGGTAAAGTACCGGTGTCGCTCGCTCCTGTCCAACCAAATCGTGGAAAAGACCGTATCCGGTCATTGAAGTCCCAACTGCCCGAATCATTTACACTGCCATGGCCAAGTCCACGTTGCTGAATGTGTACCTGCTGACCTTCAACGGCGTCTCGTGCGCTGGCTGGGCGTACGTTTTGTACCTGACGGTCGCAACGGTCCTCCAGGCGTACGGAGCTGGCGATCAGGACTGGAGCCAAGTGGCGCAGACGACGTGGAACGTCGTGTCCCTGCCGCTCAAAGTGGTGCAGACGATGGCCGTGATGGAGATCGTGCACGCTGCCGTGGGCTTTGTGCGCTCGCCACTGGGCTCGACTCTCATGCAAGTGAGTTCTCGGCTCTGGCTCGTCTGGGCTATCAACGTGCTATGTCCCGTATCGCGCTACCAGTTCGGCTTCCCGCTCATGGTGGCCAGCTGGGGCCTCGTCGAGGTGCCGCGCTACTCGTTCTACGCGCTCAATCTGTACAACGCAGTGCCAAACTTCCTCTTCTTTCTGCGCTACCACCTCTTTATGCTGCTTTACCCGTCGGGTGTGCTCGGTACGTGCTCGTGTTTGCACCGTTCATAGAAACGTAGTGCGTGTCTATTCGCGTGGCTTGAGGTCATCGCTGTGCCGTGCAAAGCTCACACAGAGAGTTGTCTCGTGTTCATCAGGTGAAGTGCTTTGCATGGTGAGCTCGTTCGGCTTTCTCTCCACGGGTGCCTATTCTATCCAGCTGCCCAACACGCACAACGTCTCGATCTCGCTCTACGTGGTGGTCATCCTGGTGCTCGTCTTGTACATCCCAGGCCTGCCCGTCATGTATGGCCACATGCTCACACAGCGCAATCGTGCGTACTCCAAGTCAAAGATCAAGACTGCATAGAGCAAGATGATCCAAGATGCGAGCGAGAATAGACGAGCGTGTCGCGATTGTTGTGTTCTGCGCAGTAGAAGTGCTGAAAGTCGACTGGAGCGCAAGTGAATATCGCATGCAGTGTGTGCGTACGCCACACATTGATACTACCCTTTGTGCTGTGTGCGTGCTGTCTGCGCTCCGGAGGAAGGCGGGCGGGCTATGTGCAGTTCTTGAATGCATAGGGAATGCAGAGATGGGTTGACCGGAACTGCTGGAGCGAGAAATGACAGGTCAGATGGCAGCTCAGCAATGCTTTTTCGATTGGAAGCTCTATGTGCATCAGAGACTTGGCGCAGTCCATCCGTACCATCACATTTCACACCGTACCCGAACGTGCGACCCGCTTAGGTCTCGAGTTGTTGACTAAGCTTTCATCACTTGACGTGATCGTGCGGTATGAGGGTGAGCCTTATCGCACAGCTTTTTTCGGCAGTTGGCTGCTTGTATGACGTCCAATTCATCATCACTCGTCCTAGACGTTGAGACGGCCTCATTCAGCTACCACATCGCAGATGTCAAATACCTCTGCTCTTCTCTCGAGATAGCTGTGTTCGGCAAGCTTTACTTGCACGACACACTGGCCGAGTTGATCTCTTCTGGATGAAAGAAAAGCAGTCGCTTCGCCCCCCCCCGCTGGACACCAGCCGTGGCATGGTGTACCTCATCTTGCGGCTCGACGATACGCGTATCAGGTGCAAACGTAAACGTCGTTGTAGTCAACTGCGGATAGTCAGTCATGAGCCAGACCTCTGGCTATGGCTGTCATTGTGCACCTCGTAGTACGATACAAAAGAGCGAGCAACGAATGGAGAAACGTCGTCGGCACATCTGTAGCTGTCGCTATGTAGCGAAGCACGAAGATTTACACGACTCTTTGCCGTCGTCGCTTTCTGAACAAACGACTCTGTGTGGTGCCGTGCCATCGAATCGCTTTGGATGTCGGTCCCGACGACACATCGTCGATGACAAATAATACGAGACCTTTCACACGCAGAACAGCGCAAAGCTCGATCTATCAATGCAAAACAGTATCAACTGCACTACAAAGAGAAACGATATGGATGTGACAATATGCGCCGCTCGAACGAGACGGAGACGACCGTCAATTCTTTCTTCCATGCAATGCACACACTTCGATCGTCGTATCGTCCACCGCAGAATTACAGCACAAAGGGCGACTGCCCTTAGTACAAACGACTGTGTACTCGCACCTGTAGTGGCTCGCCAACCCCATCAAGAAGCGATCGCGTCAGTATCGTGCGTCACATTGGACGGAATCCACTTACGAACATGCTGACCTCTAGACTCCATCCGGCTCAGCACCATTGTCAATGGCGGATAGCATTGACCTATGTCTGTTTGTGTCGATGGTTGTGTGAGATGCCGTGTCCGTGAGATCGGCAAAGGATCGCATGCAGCTCTTGGGTGCACTGTAACGATTGCATTACCTCCGATTCTCGTCAGAAACGAGTGGCTCAGTATGCTAAAGGGTGAGATCAAAGAGTCGCAGTAGAGCTCCGGACGTGCCTCCGTCCGAGAAGATGGGCTTCCAGACGCAGCACATGGATCCGAGCAATCTGCTCATGCGCACCCAGTTTTAAATGCTTCAACACGCTTGTTGTTGTTCTCTGGTCCTGGAGTTTGTCACGCGAACGATGTCGAGAGCTCAGGTCATCCAGCCAGACGTCTTCCACTGATGTGGCATCCGGACGGAGCTTCTGGAGGGGCCATACCACTGAGCCTGCAGTTGAGATGCCGACGTCAAGTGCACTACGTGGTTGGGACTTGACGCAGCACAGTACAAGTGCGAAGCTGATTGTCGACGAGAGAAGACGGCTATGACGCCACTCGTCGAAAGAGCGACGAGCCACCGACAACGTACTAGACAACTCAGGCTGTCGAAGTCTGCTGCTTCCTCGACCAGGCTCGTCTCGCTGGACGAGAGGGAGGATGGCACTTGCAGCACACGCGTGAAAGGTGCTGCAGAAGTGTCGCACAATGCGAGTGACATGCAACTTGTAGCAGCTGCTCGTTCAAGAGTGTACCTGAACTTGGTGTGTTTTATCGTTGTAGCACAATGACGGGCAGGAAGAAGCCGGCAGCAAGTGGCTTGTCGGGTAGACACGAGAAGGAGCGACTTGCGACGGAATTGCAGCAAAGACGAAGATACACAAAGCACGGCACAGTTGGTATATGTCCGTCGTATACGATCGATCCTCTGTGCTGCCAGTAGAACATCGCTCATCTCTCACTCTCTCACTGTGTCTGTGTCTGTCTAGCGAATTCGCGCTGCATGCCGCTTCTGCAATCCAAACACACACACACACACATTGACAACAGGCGACACCGAAGTGTCTCCGTACATGTGAGTCCTTTGCAACTGGCACTGCTGCTCGAGAGGTTTTGGCATACAAATCTGTGTGTACCCACTCACTCACCCGTTTGTAAGTTTGATACCGGTCTTGGAACGAGATGGACTTGACGACGTCGACAGCCGACGGGTTCTCGGGCGTCAGGTCGAAGAGCTCCTGGACGAAGGGCATCTTGGACAGCACACACTTCCACACTACGAGCCAACTGATGCTCAAAGTGAGCAGGACGATACACACGGCGCCTGCCACGTAGACGCCCGTCAGCACCAGTTCCTCCAGACTCATTTGAGTCGGTTTAGCTGAATGTTCATGCGGTCGCAGGAATACGAACTTTGTCCACTAAGTTCGCACGAGAGATGGGACAATTTTACGTCCTCTGCTTTTCGATTGCTGCACACGCGCAACGACAGTGCATTTACGACGTAAAGACACGATAAGTACATGCTCGTATGGTGGACTTAGAAACGTACATGGCTCGACACAATCTAATGGTATTTGTAGTCGGCTCCTAAATTTGCTTTTTCACAAAAGAAGTCAAGGCGAATATTGTTTGAGCGGACCGTATACAGCAATATATTACCTTTGGAGGGAATACTATGATCATGTGATCTCTGAAGGTTTATGTGTTGGCAGCTGACAGCGCACCGCGCTTAGGCTGGTAGAGGCCATCGTGGCGGTCAATCATGTCACCAAACAATGACTATCTCGCGCATGATGTGGTACGCAGGTCCTTGACATACATGCATGTAGGAAAAAACGGTTGGTCGCTAGCACGAACTACTTATATTCACTATACAAGCAGGAAACGGTGGCTGGCGCTAATCGCACCTTCAACTTTAATATTTCTCAACTTCCAACACTCCTCCTCAAGTGCACCTTCCATTCTTTTCCACTCTTCTATCTTCTCGTCCTTAAACTCTTTCAAGGGCGGCGTCCTTGGCCTTCCTTTGACTTTATCTAGGCGATGCACATCACGCCACGAAGCGATGCAAGCTTTGTTTCATCGTGAACTTTCGTCACCAGGTCATCAATCATCAACTCCGACCTCAGGTAACATGCAGCGGATCACACCGCGGCATAAAAAACCGCATAATTACTTGGGTCGGACGTCGATATGCTTGGACTTCACTGATATTGCTGCGCCCAAAATCTGACTGATAGCCGCTTGGTTGTTGACGTAAAGCTTGTCGCAGAGCTGTACAGATCCTTGATTCAGAGGACGAGCTTTAACAATATATAAGCATCTTAGTTCAAAAATCTAGACTCAGAGAGTCAACCAGCTCAAAGCGCTTACAGTCCCTGTTCCAGGGGACCAAACAATTCAAGAATCACAACATAGAGTGCTCAAGAGTATCTACATTGACAAGGTGTTGATAAACTTTTGACGATCTAAGACGCCTTTAGGAAGGCACGTGTCTTGACAAATCAAAAGGAAAACTGAACTTTATTTGTTTTATCGAAAAGAACACCTCAGACTAAACGTACTTATTCTAGACACTAATGTTCGAATTCGATACCTCGTAAAAGATCTCGTATTTTGGTGGCTGACACACGTCAGCCCCCAACAACTGATATGGTGTCCTAATATTGTCTTCAGTGGGACTCCGTCCCTTGTGTAACCCGCACATGTTATTTAAACCACACATGCTGCGTAAACCACACATGTTGTGTAACCCCGTTACACCTCCCTCACTAGACTGACGTTACAAGAAAACGTCAAACGAATTCTTTTCTCGCAGAGGACGGTGAGCGTGCGCTTCAACCTCAGGTTTTGCCAAAACATTAAACACCATGGCATAGCCACCCCAGGAGTATCATAATCTTTCCTACTACCTAGATCTCGATCAGGAGGTGGACTATGGTAGCGATACCAATTTCCATGGCGACGAAAGGACGATGTACTAGCCCATCTGTGCCTGAGGTACGACCTCTTTCAGCACCCAATCCATTCGTCGAACGTGGTGCAACCAACGCGCCAGCGGCGCACCATCATGCAACAGATGCAGGTGAGAACACCATCACCAACCCAGCTCGACGAGAAGCAAGAGCTGATTCTTCAGTGAGAGGAGAGTGCTTTTCGTCGCTTCCAGACGGAAATGGTCCTCCAAGGCCGTAGCGGCTATGTGTTTACAACTTCTGACGTGGAGGAACGTCTCTGTCAAACAGTATAGCGTATCCTTTCTACATGGGCCATCGCCCCAGGCTCTATGTCGACTAAGGAGATTACATTTCCGCCAGGTACTGCACGAAAGATATCTCGAACCCTTCTTGACCACACAAGGTCAATACAAGGCACATCTTGAGAGCCTAGCTCGTGGAATCCCAGTTCGACCGATTAAGGGCGTGCCCATACTATTGGTCGCCGGTGAGCTGCCTGATGAGGAGGACAACCAGTTCATTCGCTGGGTGTATCGCAAACAACACCTGAGCAGTCTCTGAGAGCAAGTGCCGATGTGGCTGACATTCGTCATAACCGAAAGCTTCGGTAAGAATACGCTAAGCTCAAGGTCAGAGGTCACTTGCGTAATTGCTCACGCTATGCTATAATATATTTGGTAGCCGCGGGTTCCGAACATGTGGTGCGGAGCAACCCGCTGCCTCAAATCACTATTGGTGAGAAGCGTCCTCGGTCGCGTGGCGACCCTGGCCACGATGATCGAAGACATCAACGGTGTATGGGCAATCCTGCCGAATGCGTATCTCATACTCCCATGAGTTTTCCGACTCCGGATACCCACGCCACTTCACCAGATACTGGTATTGACCATGATGGCGACATAGACCAAGGATTCTCTTCACATAGCACTTGCAGTTCCCTTGCTAATCGAGAAACGTCGGTGGTGGTCGGTGTACCCAAGGTTAAGCATGAGAAGCTACTTCTCGAAATGAATTGTCTCCGTGAGACCTTGGGTAAGACCCAGAGTGAACTCGAAGCGACGCAAACTCGCGTTAACGCATTGGAATCGGGTCTAACTTGGATGGAGACTCATCTTGACATCCTGGTTCGGACTTAGCAGCCGATGACAAGGCCAAATGTAGCGGCGCAAGCGCCTCCAAGTTCACGTGGGACGGATCTCGATACGGCTTAAGTAAGACAGCGTAGAACACAGGGTGTGTGCGAAGTTTGCGCGAGAAGCTGAGAGTATACACAAGTCCCTTCTTCGCGACTACCGTGAATGGTCCAATGAAGCCCGGACACAGCTTTGTCTTGAATACAGCGAATACTACATTTGTAGGTAGGTTTTTAGCATTGAGTTGAACTCGGTCTCCGACTTCATTAAGCTCAATGCAACATCTGCCTTTAGCATCAGCTTGTTCTTCTGTTTGTCTTGGATATTAGCCAGTGCGTCACGCATGTCGTAAGACATTCAATCGCGTTGCGAGTAAGTTGCTTACCCGTTTGGGAACAGCAGCATGGCCGATTTCCAGCAAACCGATCGGCCATTTTTCCCCACCCTGCCCTGTACCACGCAGTGGTAGCGTTAAAGGAACAATATCGTGCGTGAGGTAGTTCACATGAAACGAAGTGTAGCTTGTAGAGGCATGAACGGCGTTCTTCAACGCAAACTCAACGACAGGGAGCATCGAACTTAACGTTTTGGTGTACTAGCGCAAACACTGCGCAAGATGTCACCGATAGCGCGATTCACCCGCTGGGTCTGATCATCGGTCTGCGGACGATCCGCTGTACAACATTTCCAATCGTCTACCTAGCACCTGGAAGACGAACCTCCAAGACTTCCTAGTGAATCGAGGGTCTCGATCCAAAACAATTGCCACAGGAAAACCGTGTTGTCGAAACACTCGATAAATAAAAAGCGTAGCTGTACCTTCACCATCAATGGTATGCTGGCACAGCCTTCAAGTGAGCCATCTTGATCAAACGGTCAACAAAGACCGCAATAACTCGTGTTGCTATACGAATCTTTCGGTAAACCAAACAGGAAATACATGCCGATGGACTCCCAACACTTAGAGGGTACAGGCAAACTATCTGGCGGCGCCTCCGCGTGAGCTGAGGGTTTATACCGTTGACACGTTTCGCACGTACGCACATATGTGCTAGCCCATTTTTAGAGTTTGGGCCACCAATGCGCTTGGATTACAGAGCCATGGGTCTTCTCACAACTGAGATAGCCGCTGAACGCAGTATCGTGTGCCTCATGAAGGATCCGATACTATAACTCCTCATAATGTGGGACAACGACACGAGGAGTCTCCTCAACGTCTGTGATATAGCACGAAAGGCCTTGATCGATGGAACATCGATGCAGCCTCGCACGTAAGCACGCCGACAAATCGATGTCTAAGCCCTTAAACTCGTCGCCCCCAAGAGCACGTAGCAGAGCTACACAGTGTTCATCGTTGGCGTATGCGGCACAGAGTGAGGTCAGTGACTGACGACGACAGAGTCGTAACATGAGCAAGCTCATAGTCAGGCCTGCGTGACAACGCATTAGCTGACGCATTCTGCTTTCCCGGCATAAATTTCACTTCAAATTTTTTATTCGGCAAAAAATGAGAGCCAACGAGACATTCTCTGAAAGCGGTGAGGCGACTGGGTTACAGTGCGCATTGAAGCATGATCGGTGTAGATCGCAAAAGGCTTCGAGACAAGCAGACGGACTATGAATTTGACGAGAGCATACTCCGTTGCAAGTAGCTCTTTGCCATGAACTGGGTAGTTTTTCTCAGCACCTTTAAACTGTCCAGACTTTAACACAATGACGCGTTCCGGTCCCTGAGCATCTATTTGTAACAGAGCACTGCCAATGGCAAAGTCAGATGCGTCACAGACAACACTAAAAGGCCGATCGTGACAGGGCAAAGATAAGATAAGTACATAAAAGAGCATAATGCTCGGTACTAGTCCAGCACCATTCCACATCGTTCTTAGAAGGACTGGATAATGGCCGAGCCATATCCGCGTAACTAGCACTGTGCTTGTGTAAGTAATAAGCAAGGACAAGCCACTTACGTGAGTTCTTTTGGTTCTTTGGAACCGTCCAATCACTATGGATTCCAACTTAGCGGGATCCGATCGAAGGCCTGCTTCCCAATGAAGCAATCTAAAAAGGTAATCTCTTTTGCACCAAAGATGCACGTCAGAGGCGTTGGCATACAACGTTTTTGTGCGCATCCACTCAAACACCGCTCGTAAAAGGTCAACATGATTATCCACATCTGACCGACCGTTCATAGCACGACTATGGACAACGATGTCATCAAATTATGCCTGTGCATAACCTCAATGAGGTCAAAAAAGCTTGCGTGACAAAACGATT